TAATTTCTGTCTACAGCTGAGAATCAGTGAAGAAAAAAAAAAAACCTCAAGAAAATAATAATTGTCTGTGCTAAGTTAAGCTTTCCAGAGGGATTGCTGAAGTGCACAGTGGTTTTAATCAGCATGTGAAACGACAAGATAAGATTGTATCGCTACTTGCCTGACAGCTATTATCACATCCCTGTTAAAGAAAAGTACCTCTGTGCCAATCACAGCCTAGCTAGGTCCGGAGGTGGAAAGTCCTATATGTAGGTTAATCGGTGTTTGTACATATGTGCAAAGTTTTGTGCGTGGGAATACAAGACACTCACCACGTTAAAGTGAAACAAATACGCACACGGAAACCAGACATTTTTCCAATGACTTAGACATGTGCTAATATTCATTCTAGCGAAGTTGATTTTCTGAGAGGCTGGAATTTCAATTAGCACATGGGGGAAGGCAAGTTTTGGAGAAAAAACAAACAAACAATCCAATTACTGTTTGGAGCAGATGTTTTCAGTAGAAAACAATATCTACCAAGAGACTGCTTAGTCATTAAGCAGTGTGGCCACTAAAGCAACACCACTGTGCCATCAGAGGCTATTTTTCTGTATCCCTGCACACTTTGTCTTTTATTCCCCATTTTAACAATTTTTCATCGTCCATTTAAAAAAAAGAAAATAGTTTCTTACGGGATAAGAAAATAATAACTCACAAATTCACCAGGCTGCTCTCACGAGATTGCCGACCAGCAACCTCCCAGATATTGAAATATTTATAAATTTTGTCAAAGCAGTCCTTGCACTAGATGTCTACAACTCCTGCCTGTTTCACGTTTGTCTTTACACAGAATATGTCTTGACAAGAATATTTATTTATCCTGGTGGAGTATCACAATCCCACCTGAGGCTGTGGTTAAGACATGGTCCGCAAATGAAACTGCGGTTAAAGTCTAGAAAACACTGACGCTGCCCTCAGTAACATTTTATTTCTCAGCACATCTTGCGCCTGTGCCATTTCTGTCCGTATGCATAAGCCCGGAGGTGAACATCCCAAATCTGACTTTCCGCCGAGAATGGGTCAGGCAGAGGGGAAATGTGTTGCAGACAAGTGGATGACATGTAATTAATCGGGCGAGGAGGAGGTCTGGAAAAGGGTTTAGTTATTGATCCGTGATGTTGTATGGTAATAGCTTTTCTATCTCTGTTTATCACACATAGACACATTTGGAGACACATCCTCTCTCTCTCTCTCTTTCTCTTGTACACTGACATAGGGCCACAAGAAAGGACAAGCTATTCCTGTCTTGTATGGCCTAAAATTGGATCAAGATCCCATCTCACTCCACTAGAATTCCCTCTGGGCATTCCAACTGCTCCACATAGGTTTCAAAAGGCTCTATCTCCCAGTGCAAGTTCTGATTACTTACTGTGGCCTGCAGGGCTGAGTGGATCGTGGAGGGTCATCATTATCACAAACAAAGAGACAAACAGGATGGTAAAACTCTGTTGTCACTGAGACTGGGGACTGCTGTCCCCTTATGGCGATTAAGCTGGAAGTTCGGGTGAGAGTAAATTAAAAAAAAGTTATTTCAGATGTCAGAAACCCCTTTTTTATTAAAGACCGATCATAAGAAAAACATGTTTTATGTCTTTTTTCCTCATGGAAAGTACAAGATCATATTGGGTTTGTTGACAGCAGCGGTGCTCAGTTAACATTCATCTTTCGTCAGTTTTCTTTTACCTTTTTTTCTTACATCCGTTCTAAAATACACCAAAAACAATTACATATCATCCAATTTGATTCTTATTACTTGGTTACTTTGTTCAGCTTATACATAAATGTATTAGTTTCAACACTTTTTGTGTGGCTCTAAGGGCTTTTGTTTGTTCGTATACCCCTTTAATTTAATGACAATGAACTCTGTAGAAAATCTAATGAATGAACAAAAGGTTTTTGTATACTCCACATTGTCTTCCCCCCTCAGAAACACTTCATCCACATCACTATGCTGCTTTGTCTCCTCTCTCCCATTTATTCAAAGGTATTATCCAGAACCTTCCACAGTGTAAATCTTTCATGCTTTCATCAGTCTTTGCATGCTGCTAATTGGAGATGTGCAATCTGCAAGTTACCATCTCCATACCGAATTGACCTCACATGTCCGGGCGTGGCTTTGTTATTTGGGAAAAACAAGCCAAAATGAGAATCCCCAAAGGCTCCCATGTGAGCGAGAGCAGTTTTTTTGCCAGCATGTTGGCTGACGGGGCACTTATGACTTCAGTTTTGGATGTAGTTATTGCGTTATAATCTTGTTTTTATAAGTGGGTCAAAACGACCATCATAAGACGACGGTCAGAAGATTTCAGAATGTCTCAGGTAAAGATTTCTTACAGTTTTTCAGCACTGTATTAAAAACAGCAATGAGGTCTATCTATGTAACATCAAGGACTGCAAGCAGGCTTGAGCTGGCAATGGAATCCCCAAGATAAGACCAAAAGCATATATTATTTCATCATTGAATGATTTTCAGAGGAACAAAGTCAAAGCCAAGGCAAAAGTCCTCACCTTATGTATTATTCTGCATTGGCTGAAATGAAGCAGGACATCCAATGACACCCCTCAGGGAAAATAGTTTGTTTGGAGAAATGTGTTGGCATTAATGTATTCCAGAAAGTAGCAGTAATAGACGTATAAGGCTCTAACGGGCAAAATGTTTTTCAAAGGCAATATTTCCAAAGCTTTTACACTTCCAAAGAGGTCAACTTTATATTCGGCTTTCGTTATATAAAGATAAATCTGATTATATTTCAAGTAATTAATACAGACAATACGGAAAATTCTTGTGGTTTTAAAACGTTCGCTTTCTACTTTATCTAATCAAATCAATGGCCCACTTTATTGTCAGAATTGTAAATTTAGACCAGATTAGTGTCTTGCAGTGGCTACTTTTTAACATTTGCCTGTCTTGATTTCAGCTGGGCTTCTTTTGAAATGTCCAGGCCAGATGTGAAACGAGCAAAAGAAGAAAAAAACAAAGATACTACCATCTTTTCTTTAATAACCAACTCCTGGCCATAACTTCTATCGTCTTTTTTTAAAGCAGCACTTTATAACAGAGAACTGTAGAGACATTTATTCAAAACATTTGTTGGATGTGAACTACAAGATACAGATCTCCACCCCTTGACGAAGAAAAGAGCAGAAAACTCAGACAGGAAGAGCTAAATGCCTGTTAGAATGGAATAACCACTTTAACTGTTAAGAACTGTGACAAACGGCATCGAATCATTACCACAACGACGCCCTTGCTAATGATCTAACCACCTTCTCTTCTCTTTTTACGACAGTGGCTCAGCACCTCACTGGGATTGGATTCTCAGACACCTGGATTCCCCCTCCGCAGCTGATTGGCTGATCTTTGATCTCTGAGGCCAATCGCCACCATAGGCACAGCATGTAAAAGAGGTTGTGACTTATTATTCCAGGCAGCTGTTCCTTTGCTGCCTCGCTCTCAGTCGCATGTGTGTGTGTCACTTGTGTGCGTTAAATGACATCATCAGTGGCTTTTCTTTTGCCTATATCTGTTATTTTGGCATTTGGACGGAACCTATTCAGAAACATCATTTTCTAACTCATACACAGAGACTCTGTCATCTTATTCTATCTTTGAGCTCTGCTCTGAACACTGCTAGAGGTACATTTTTGGGAATCCTTTCAACTTCTTGGCATTTTCTTTTATGTTGCCACCTCAATCCCTGCCTGATCTGGGCTGTCACAGAGTGGGTTCTTTAATTGTTTTAGCGTTGGGTGTATCTCGACAAGCGTGGGATCAGTCGTTACAGGACACGCCTGTTAAAACTGTGTCTGTCCAAGTGCCTGCATGTATAACACGTTCACGTGAACATGTCTGAATCCGTCCTTGTGAGCGTGTGCACGCGCAAACGTGCACGTGTCTCGGCAGAACCCCCGAGAGGCAGCTCCGCTGTCTGTCACGGTGATAAAAGCTGACAGGAGAGTTTTCCTCAACGTGCTCATTGGAGCTCAGCCAACAACCTGCTCCCTACCTCAGTTAGTCCCTCTTCCCCTCTGCCCCCTTCTCACATTTTCTATTTTCCATCCCTTCATACAAACTTCACATCCTCCTGTGGCTTCATTTTATTTCCTCCACTCATTTATATTCTCTTTCCTCCTTCCTCGTTTAAACTCTTTTTTTTCCCCCCAATCCCGTGAAAGGTTTTCTATCCGGTTATAATGAGGGGGTAAACAACAGAGGAATGAGAGGGCTTTTGTTTTCCACCCATCACGAAACATCTTAACACCTAAAGGGACATTAAAGCCGTTGATACATAAGCTAGACTAAACACTGAAAAGTCCCACATAGGGAAAAGCATTAAAAAGTGCAAAAAGGAATTCCATAAACACCCCAAATTGACGAGTTTTCTTTCAACCAAACACCTTAAGAGGAGTAGCAGTTTTAATCAACTTTTACGGTAACCTTAATCCAATACTTTCTGTGTCCAGTTCCCGTATTCCCTGGTGGCTGTTACGTGGGGACAGTTGAAACTTGGACCATAAAAAATAGGATCAAAGGTCAGTGTTATAGGCTAAGCAACAATCTTTGTCCAGAGATCTGTGACCAGGCAGACAAAGGTTGATGGAAAGTGCCACAAAAAACTGGTAGACCAATATCTGTGCCCGGGATAGCTGCCTTTCTGGATAGGTAACGTTTGTTTGAGATCCATGTGCAGGTAAACCATCACTTTGCCTTTTAATAAATTAATTAAATGTGGCTAATATATAGATTATTATTTTTATTTGTAGTGTTTTCCTAGATACGAAAAATTCACATTTGTGTATTGCTGGGGTGTATTGTTTCGTTTTTGAGCTTTTTTGTGCCTGGACTCGTCTTTCCAGAGGGTGTGTGTTTTTGACCAGATGTAAATTGAATAAGCACGTTTGTAAGTGTTGTCACATTACAAACAAGCTCCAAGAAATAATCACGCATCGAAAACCTGTTAGCTTGCCTGCAAGGCACGGAAAGAAATAACATTGTTGGAAAAATGCAAAGTTGAAGCAGAGATTACTGTATCATGTTTTATAAATTCAAGACATTGTGAAATCGTAGGAAAAAAATATGTAATAAAATAGTAATAAAGAGAAAGAGAAATATTACAACTATTAGCCTGAGTTAGTGATTAATTTGGAAGTTGCTATGTGAGGCTATATGGTCAGTCAATTACATATTTTTGCATTTTCCAGTTGCCTGCACACTACAATCGATGATTTCATACTCAAGCATCGCCTCATCATTTTCATGCTGCGCTTGTTGAGTTTGTGCTGAGCTCCTAAGGAATGCTCTGTTGTGCGATTGCACTTCCTGATATTGACTGATACAATCAAAATGATTAACTGAGAGAGAGTGATTGAGAAGGGAGGGGCTGTGAGCTGATCAGTAATGCACAGAAAAGCAACTTAAGGACTGGAATACAAGCACTGATGAAGGGATTCTGGAAAGGAAAGAAGAGCAACGAGTAAAATGACAAAAGAACAGAGTGAATGTAAAATGAGAAAAAACAAAAGGGCTGATTTGGTAGCTTATTGGACTTAATCAGGGAAGAGCAAACAAAATCAAGATAGTCACATTTTTCATAAAATGATAATGTGTAACAATTACACCTAATTTTCAGTTTTCCAATGCCAAAGACATGTTTGTTTGTTTTTTATCTTGATGCGTTTTGGGTGCTGTCTGAGCATCTGGGAGCACAAAATAATTTCCCACCTCTGAGGGATGACATCCTGCTCAGGAGCAATGCTTGATGTGGAATAAGAATAAAAAAGAACACCAATGTTTATGAATTGTAAAATAGCAACATTTTAAGGGTCCCATCATTTTTCCATGTCTAATTTCACTTCAGAAAATGATGAATATCTACTTTTTTCACCATGTAAACCTGTCTAAAAATCACAATTACTTCTTTAAATTCCTCAAACTAAAACTGTTATGCAGGCTGTAGAGGACTGTTGGCGACAAAAACCTACTGGTGATCACACAAAACTTGAGCCTTGAATGAATTCTTTGAAAAAAAAATTTTCTTTTCATCTTCAATTCACATACGTCATTTAGTTCAATCATCAAGTCACATAACTGAATAAATACATCTAAAAAGTCCTCTTACATGGACAACATCCCTGAGTTGTTACCTGAGATCTCCTGCACTTTCTCCAATAGCCTCCTTATTCTGTTCCTTTAATTTGTCCATGGCGGTACGCACAGTGAAACAATGACTCAATGATGTAACAGGCAATTACAAGGACAGTAAAGCTCGTAACTTCATCTCTTGCTCAGCTAAAACAGAACTTTTAAAACACTATAGTAATTGAAGGAACTGGGAGAGAAAATTAAAATGATGGCGTTAATAAGTTGAACATTAAATCCAGTGCATGATTGAATCAAGGCCCAGTGTAAGTGCCTGTGTTGCTGAAGAAGCAGCAAGGGAGATTAAGTGTAGGAAAATGTATGCTCAGTCACCTTTTTTTTTTGGCGTTTTAAAAATCTTTTGTTTTTTTATTTATTTCTTTTGAAGCCTTATCTGGCAAGCCAAAGTGCCACATAAATATAACCGACAATTTTTAGACGGGATCAGTCATTAACCCCTGAGGTAAGTTACATGAATACAAGTATAAAGAGAGTATTTGTTTGAGATGCATGATTCACAGTGTCATGCGGCATGAAAATGTTTGATCATTTATGCCCACTCCTACAGAGGATTATGTAAAGAAAGCAAAATATTATCACAACGTTTTAATCAGATGTGGTTTGAAAACAAGGCCACATGCTCTATGCAAATATGCAAATTTGCTGGGGTCATTTATTCCTTTTGAAGTTTGTGGGATTTGTAGAAAGGGTCTCCATCTTAGACAAAAGACTCTGAGGGAAAAACATTACAGTCTTGGTAATATTTAGCCTCATCTCACGTGACAACATGTAACAGGAACATTTCTCCAACATTCAAACACGCAGTAATATCATAAAAAGGGTGACATTTGAGTAGTGTGTTCTAAACCATCAAAAATATGATTTTATATGTATATATACCTGTATATATAAATCATTTGAGTACTTTTACCTTTTCTCTGCCTTAATTAAGAGGCTGCTCCATTTTACATGCTGGACCAGAGACACTTCACATCTTGTTTTATGACAGTGATAAAAAACATGTTTACTGAGATATGTGCTTTTTGGTACACATGCTGTAATTAAGACGCAAACATTAATATAACAGAGAATGAATAAAAGGCTGTGATGGCTCTTATAACATGAAACTGGCACATCTGGCTAACGATCAGTGAACGAGTGAAGGCATTAACTAAAGTAGTTCATATACATTTGGCTTTTGAAGTTATTAAGTTACAAAATTAATCGGCTGGCCGTTATACAAGATGAGCTGAAGTATTTATCTTTCAATGTATATGTTATTTTCCTTTAACAGATCTTAGGACCTTGTAGTTTATTCAGTTTCCAGTGTTACTAACATGTAAACATTCAGAGTCAGGGTATTTTAGGTCTTAAACTGTGATTGTTATGGTCGTAGTAAGGTGGTATCTGAATGCATGAATTCCATGTCTGCCCCCAGAGATGGAAGCAAACATTTATAGCTGGTTCTATATGTGCACAGGCCAGTGAACCCCATTACTTTTCTCGTGCTGGAGCTCCCGTGAGTCGGATTTTTTTTTCCGAAGTTACTCTATTTTTTGCCGAATTTATTTGGGTTCACAAGTGTATTGTCTGGCTCTGCAGTGCTCTCTGACGGTCAGTTAAATATAATGCACACATTCTCCCGTATAGCAGAAAGCAGCACAACAAATGTGAATGGAGAGATGTCATCAATAATGTCTTCCACAATTGTATCTGATGGCTGCTTGTCTACTAATTCTTACTCAAGGTAATAAAACGGTTTAAAAACTTCATAACATACGTCTGTTTAACACTAATGACATATCTTACATATTCATAAACACCCACAAGCATATGCGCCCATGTCCTCATAATAAAGTTGCTGTGCTGACCTGTCATTTTTCAATTAGTATCCACAATTCTGTTGCATATTCTTGGAGCTTCTGTTGTTGCTGCATGCAATTTATGTTGTTTTTAGTTTTGCATTCCTGCAGATGTCCATGATTGTCTTTCCTTAGTTTATTCAAAAAGGCTGTCGGAGGATTTTCTGACTCGGCTGGTTGTTGGGATTTGTAATTAACCTGTGGAATGTGCTGCCTCTCAACATGGTGTGTTCAATCTATGAACTATTTTAAGCAGTTTTTATTTATTTTTTGCAAGCTCTTAGTTAGACGATACCTATCTATGTCTATGTATGTTATTTACCTTGATTGGTCATTCCATCTATGATTTTATAATAGTTTTATATTTCATTTAATATATTTATATTTAAGTCCTTTTTTATTGGGGAGGTTTTCTTTTAATACCTTAACAGCAATAAATACATCCACGAGGGTTGTAAGGATGCTGAAAAGGACACGGGGGGAAGGGGATTATTAGTATCATGACTTAAAGTTTGGAAATTAATACAATTCAATCAGAAATTTGGGGTGGGAAATTTGTCTAATTGTACTTTCATTTATTTTTTACAGCTAGAACTATTTTCATCCTATTGGACTCATACATACTGCAAGACATCACGGTTCACTAGATTTTGATCCCCAAATCTGGATTTGCACAGCTTTGAGAAATAAGAAGAAACAACACAAAACAAAACAAAAAAGTAAGAGGAGAGCCAGTCTAGAAACTCACAAAGAAACAAAATTACTTTGGGGAACTCACAAATCTCTATTCTCACCTCATCCTCTGCAATCATGAAAGGATTTTTATAGCGGTCAAAGAAAGGATTGGCAGGTCTGCCAGCATGGATGATCCAGCAACTCATACCGACACTGCAACTGTTTGTTGACAGACAAAACGATATACATCCCCACTGCCAGATTCTACATACTAATCACTTTCTTAACTTACATGTAAACATTGGCTTCGGTACCAAAGAAGGAATCAACCCTCTAAGTCTTAAAAACTATATCATAGTTCTATGTTATGATTTTCAAAACAACTTTTATAATGCAAGAATCTGGGACAATATGTTGAGGGACTGTTTGCAAACATGTTCATGCATACTCAAGAACATTAGAACACACTTCTATCCATGTGCTAACTGATTGGCAAGGATCCAGTCTGTCACCGAGCAGAAGTCAAGAACAAAAGCTAAAAGTCCTCCGTAAGTCTGGGCTCCACCTGAAGCATGTGTGGCCGGCATGCTCTCTGACTGCAAAGCGCATAGCAAATGGGCTTCTCCTGGGTCCAACAGGAAGGTTAAACAGGCAAAGAGGGAGAGGAGGGAGGTCACTGCAGCTTATCTTCCCCGTCGGTCTGTCTGCTGCCCCTCAGGCTTAACCAGAGAGCACAAACACACGTGCTATAGACCACAAGCACATAGCTAAACACACCTCCTACCATGGTGATGACCCACTAAAAATGTAAGAATATCAGTCTAATTGTCCTTTAATTATGAATAATAACAAAAAGCATTCATACAATTATCCACACACCCATATAAACGGCAACCATCTACTTTTTATATAAAACTTTTGCCTTTCATTGTCTTTCAGTACAGCATTTCTGCTTGAACTGCAAAATCTAAATGTTTGACAAATACTCCAATGCATTAATTTTAAAAGGAATCATGTTTTCTAAATGGTCAAAGTCCATAGGTGTAAGACATCTCAAGATGGTAAATTGAATTAACAACTGTCCCAATATGTGTAAGCCAACCTGCCAGTGGGTCAGCTGAATGAGAGCGTCCACTGTTGAGCGAGCAGCATGATTCAGTTTAACGCCACCCCTAATAAGCGTTTTGAGCTTTACATATATTCATTTTGGAAAATTTGTTTGGGGAGAAACACATCTAGCTTCATGACTCGGCATCACGTTGTGAGTGTGATTATGAGAAGCAGTCAGACATCATCTCACACACAGCAGGCAGCTTGACAGTCCATTTATTTGTAGGGTACTGAGCTAACTTTGACTGAGCTATGATATTTGGTGTGTTCTGGTCCTTTAGAAGCCACCAGCCAAAACACCACTAGTTTTAAAAATGTATGGAAATAGTTTCTGTTGTCCTTGTAAATCACGGTTAGATGAACCTCTGATCCTTGACTAGCACATACCATTGGCTTTGGTGGCAATTATGCATTCTCGTGCAATGATTCTCTGTGTGGCTATTTGCCAGCTTTAGCATAAAACGGTGAATATGGAATTACTTGGTACAATATGAAGGTAAAATATGTTCACGAATCTAAATAAAATAAACCAGGGAAGTCATTTGTTTAAATCAGAAATATCAATCGGGATCACTGCCCCTTTTTTGAGCCCCTCGGTTTTTCTCGTCTTCCTCTCCTTATACCTCTTTCTGGTCTTCTCATACCTGCAAAAATGGCAGGATTTGCCATAATGGGTCAGGTGTTAATGTGATCAGTTTGACTCGCTTAACCCAGTTTGTCTCTCGGTGTCTGCACCAACAGACAAACCGATGCCTCCTATGTTTGTTGTTTATAGCAGCACGTACAAGGTGCTTGGTTACCTATTACTATAAATAGGGCATATTCATTTTTATGGATGTAGCAGAAAAGTTGCTTTATGGCCCTGTTTTATCTCACTGAGACTCAGAGACACAGTAAAAAGCAACCTTTACTGACAAATCTCCTTGAAAAGGTGGTCAAACTAAAAATGTGACTTCACTCCACTTTTTAAGGAACTGTTTAATGTCAGCGGTTAGCAGCCCCAATCATGAATAAGATACAGATACACAGTGGAAAATTCAGATTTTTAGATGGTGATCATAAGCACAAAAAAGAAAAACAAATTCTAAATTAGCATTATGAAAAAAAAATCAGTTTCCTCAGCTAGGCGACTTTTAATGACATGGATATTACATATGATAATAAGTTTTACTTAGAACAAATCAAACTAACCTTTGAACTGAACAAATATACTATTATCAATGTGTATAGAGTGTGATTTGATAACAATGAATTAAATAGTTCATTGAATGAAATAATTCAGTTAAATAACATGTACTAAACTGCATTGCACTTACTTTAAACAAAGGATGAATTAAGTAGCCATGGAGTGTGAAAAGAGCTTAATTATTAAGAGAATTGTCTTTCAAATGCATTTTTATGTATCTATTTTTTTGTCTTAACATCTCCAGCTGCTGCACTTTCTGTCAAACAGCCAAATGGTTCTTTATTTCCGCCTCTGTGGAGACCAAGTGCAGAGAACTTTGATGTGAGCCAGTCCACGATTCCAATACCACGCAACTTCAAACGGGAGGGAGCTAAAATGCCTTTAAACTTTTAGAGACGTTTGTTGGAGTTACTTCTAAAACGGTCTTAACTATTATCAATATGCATTGTATCAAGAAACTCAGTTTGGAGCCAAGCAAAATGTTCTCTTGTGTTCCAGTAACTTTGTTGACATGCATCACCGCTTGTGGGAGAGTTTTGGCACGTCCTGTACTGCTTTCTGATTAGTTTCAGACATTCATTTTTCAGCGGCCTCATGATGTGCCAGCAGACTAAAAAGAAGCTCTAACTTTGGGTCATGCCTTGAATAACTACAAAACAACAGCTTAAAGGAAAACCATCAATCAGAAATTTCCTCTCTTATATTGTCTTCCTACAATTGGGTCAGAATTGGAGCTTTTTTTGTTTGTATGAGACAGTTTTGCACATTATTGGAAAGGCAATTTTACTCATGGAGCTTTTGATGCAGGATGCAATAATTTTTGCATTACTGAAGTAATCATATACCTTGATTTGTCTAATTTGTGAAGCAAAATACTTGGTCATGATTCGTAAGCAAAATTTGAATATTAAGATTAACAAATGTCCCAGCACAAAAAAAGACATTTGCTTGAAAATGATCTTTTAAGGACAGTTTTGTAGAAAAATTTGATTTTTTCTGTAGCCAGACTGTTAAACATTTGCAGCTCTGCCGCAGAACAGTCTGACCTGCTGCACTGAGCTGTTCCACTGGGGAAATGGGGTTTAAAGGCTCTGCTCACAGACACCATTGTGCTTTTAATTAGGCGTGTGCTTTTTCAAGTTTCCTAATAAATGTTATCCCTCCTGTTCAGAGACATAAGCATGCCACCACAACCACAAGTTCTATCGAGGAATCATGTGTCCCTTTCATTTGCTATTTCACAAGCAATATTTCTATCCTCAACATTATCAAGTTTCAAGTATAAGTATATGATAGTGTCATATAACAGGAAATACTCTGTACCAGGAGGAGTTTCCAACGATTAACTGAAGTTTTCTAACGATGCTCTCTTTGTCAATGCTGGAAATGTCTGGATCACAAATAAATGCTGCAGTTTGCTGTCAGTGATTGTTACCGTCAGCCTCGGACTGAATAGAGAATAATCAGGCAGCTGACCCTGGCAGGGTGGTAACTGATTTGCATTCAGATGCAATCAGGCAGGCTGCTTTTATGGCCTTACCGTGGTGAGGTATGAAATCCAAGAAACTATTAAAAGGAAGCCACTTTAGAACACCCTTTTCTCCCGAGCTGTGAGCTTTCCACATACATGTCATGCACCGGGACTAATAACGGGACCTTGACTTCTTGCACCTTACCTCCAGTATGCATGGAATGTGGAAATTGAATTTTAGGTGGACATTACAGATAAACTACATCTTCTGCAATGGGAATTCTGACTTTTTTCTTGTAAAATCATTTGTTTACCACAGCTAGGACCACTGAGTGACAGACTAAATTTCTGCAACAATGAATATATGGTTTTCTATGACAATACTATCTATCTCAGAGATTTAGTTATTATTTTCTCATGTAGACTTAGGAGTGAAGTATTCAACCTATCCCTGATTGTAAACTGTGTATCATATATTTTATTTATAGTTCTATTACACTGTTTCACAATTATTTGCAGTTTTGTTTATGATAATAAAAAATAAGAAATATCCATGATATCGACTTGCAACTTGTGTTATTTTACTGCTTCATTCCCAGTTAATTAAACCTGTATGTTATCTCAACATGCCTTAATCTATCCCAGCCCATAGTTTTGATTAGTTTTTTTTGGCAAAAATCCAAAGAAAGATGCTGGTTTTTAAAGGAATACAATTTTAGAAATATAATTCATATGGGATATTTAAATTTCAGGCAGAAGTAGCTGTCAAAGATTGAGTTGTTTGAAATGGAAAATAATATTACTATTTAATACTTATTCTGCAGTTATTACAAAGCTGGCCTTTTATTGTTATTAGGGAGATAATGCATTCAGACATTAAGAGACCTTGTAAAGATTAATTATGAATATGTGGTGCAAGTATATGAATCTCTGTCAGTATATTAATATTTGTTATTTTTTCTTGAGGGTATTCAGTGTTTTAAATGAGTTGTTCAAGAGAAAGGATTGTAATGTGAGTGCACTGTGAAATATATATAAAACAAGAGTACAGACCAGTACTTTCTTTGCTGAGAACACTGATTGTGGAGTTTTAAACCAGAATTCTGCAAGTCAGGAATAAGTTTTATTTGCTGTGATTCTATGAGTTAAGGGTTAAGAATTGTACATCCTTTACATGACTGAGATGCTAAGGGATGGTGTTGTTCTTAAAATAAACTACTCATCAATTTTGAGCGATTCATAGAACATTGTGAAATGTGGATAGTGACAATTGTACTGTAAAGAGGTATGAATATTGCAATTTGCAATGTTTTGGGATGCAAATGTTTTGACTAGGTCAAGACTGTTTCTTTAGTTTCATCTATGATGAGCATCATTAGTAAAGGATTCCATCTGGGCATAGCAGGCCCCCAAGCTCAGATCCATTGTGCCAAGTCACGAAGATGAGAGTTCGATCTGGCCTAAATGGCTGGTGGTTGGACAAAATCTCACTCAGATGCCTCCCTCTAAAAAAAAAACCTGGCCCTTTTTCTGTTTTTCTGTGAGTGTGTTGATTCTTTCTGTGATTGTGAAGAAGTGTTTGCATGCTATGCTCAGTCAATCCAGTAAACATCCAGCTAAAATGATTGTGTTAGTTTCATTTCCAACAGAAGATTCCTTTGAAAGCCCCCCCCTTTCAGCTGCCCCTCAAATGAGGCGCCTTGGGCAGGCGGCCTCCTGTCTTGGGCAGACAGAGCTGCTATGTCACTGGGAGAGAACTAAGTTCAAGCTGTTGCTGAAAAGCTCACGCTTCTGGCGAGAAGGAAGCATAATAAGCAGCTCTGCTCATTATTTTCTCTTTGTTCTTTATAAAAACAAGCACAGCGGAGACAACTCACCTAATAAAGAGATCAATTTTTAAAATCATTAAAAAGATTTCAAGAGTGAATAACAGTTTTTGAAGTTTTTATTTAGAATGCGCTCGCATGGAGAGGAATTCCGTTTTTATGTATTTAGAGAAAGTAAGAAGTCAGGGTAAACATAAAGGGGGGAATATGCTGGCAGTGTGCAGAGACTTTGGTCACAAAGCATACCATGAGATCTCTGTTCGACTGTTTGACCGACAATTGCACGTTAAATTTGACTATCAAATTAAATAAAAGTCACCCAGAAAATGGTTCAATTTCACACCCTGAGCGTCCACATGCAGAGGTGGAGTCTAAAACTGCCATTTCAAGGGAAGAAACCTCCATGAAAACCAGACTCAGGGCGGGCACCCATTTGCCCCGACCGGCCGGTTGTTGACCATCGACCTAATTTGTCTCATCAATTTATCTGCAGAAAGAACTTACCTGATGACCAAAATGCCTCGTCTTTCGCTGAGGAGGTGATGTAGTACGAAGGGAAGAGATGAAAGAGACAATATCCACAGCCGCAGATCATCCAGAGTGATGCTGGTCGAGTTTTGACTGGAAACAGGAAATATGACGATGTTAGCCCAGTGCTCAGGTCTCTGCTGTAAAAAGAAGAGTGACCGTCTGACTGTCGCTCAGAATGGACATTTGAATAGCTTAAATTCAGGCTGAAAACAATTCTGTTTAGCTGTGCGTACGACAACTGAAAATATTTAATCTGCACTCTTCCCTTTTTTAATTTTGGTAATTAATGATCATTTTGATGTTTTCATCAGTCTTTTGAGATTGCATGATGTAAATCACCTTGACTGGCCTTGTGTACAAATTGTGCTCTACAAATAAATATACCCAGCCCTCAGGAGCACGTATCTCAGTGTCCACAGAGCTAAGCTTGACCTTCCTCCTCACATGCCGTCCCTTACCAAATTGCATTTCTTTTCCCACAAAAAAGAAACTTCTGCCAGAGTATGATTTTGGTCCTTTTGTCACTCAACTGCCTTGTGAAAGGCTGCTGAGCCTGTGAGCTGCTTTAGCCGTTTTTGAAGTGCTTTAATCACAAAAAAGGTTTACATTCCCACTTCTGAGGCAGGTTACTTAGCAGAATGTAGCAGATGTTAAATGTCCCACCATGGAATCTTTGCTGTTGCAATAAAACAACATGCTGGTTGTATGTTTTGTTACCATGGGACCTGTGACTTAAAATAGGGTAAATGCTGCATGTTTATATATATCTTGTCTTGATTTGTCAAACTAATCTGCTCCATAATCTGCTGCTGTAAGATAGGTGGTGGTCACAATTAATAAGTTCACTGGATGCGTGTTGGGAGGACAAAGAAAAGCGATATCATTAAACATTAAACAATTAAAGGGGCCAAACAACTTCCAAGCAGACAATATACATTCAATGGTTGGCCAAAGAAACACAAGGAAGCAAATCAAAGCTCTCAAACTCACGTTAACAAGTAGACACACACTGGAACTGGGAAAGGTGGCAATGCTGTATCAAAGGGGTGAACCCTGGGCAAGCTACAAACTTATACTTGTCCAAAGGCACAGGGTTTCCCGGCAGGGGCATGGGTGTGGTCGGGTGTGGTCGGGCGTGGTAGGTCAGCCCTGCCCACTGAAATGGGGACCCCATCTCTGCCACAAGAGGTAGCCAAAAGAGACATGACCAGGAATCAATTCCTCCCAGAAAAAGACTCAACTCTCAGCCATCGGTCAGTTCAGGGAGGACAATCCAGCGTGAGATTGGTCTCGTAGAGGTTTGCTTCCCCACCTGGACCTATACAGACCGGACCCGGCCATCGCGTCCAGTAGTGACGGCAAGGACCTTTGACTGGTAATGCCAAATGTTTATTTTCATTCTGAGACATTCTTTTCCCACATTCGATTCCTGCAGACTCATAAAGGGGGATTGGATTAAAGGGAATTTTGGGTGTACTCATTGGTTTTCTTCACAAAGCGACTTTTGTTTTCTATTCTTTTTTGTCTTAAATTGGCTTGTGGGTTTGAATCAGTAAAAATTGCACAATTAACAGTTTTCTGATGGTATCAATTTTGTCCAAATGTTTTCCATTGTGGTTTTTTAATAGTATTTTTGTGGGTTTGTGTCTGTCCCTTCGTACAACCTGCTTTTATCTTTGAATCAAGTGGAAAGTGATTGGTGTATTTTAAAAATGTGAAATAGTCACAAAACGTGTATTTCATCTGACCACACAGAAAACACAAAGAAGTCACTATTACTACCACACCACCTGTTATGTCTGAGTGAAAATTCAAGCTTTACCCTTCCAGATAACACTACGCCAGCTTGAATTGGCTTCATGAGCACTTTCACCTCATCGGGGTATTAGCAACTTCTGAAGACGACTATAAGACTACATGCTGGCCCAACATAGGAATTGTCAACAATAAAAGTAACCTTAAAACCAAAACTGTGTTTTGCAAGAATTGTTGTTTTGCTGTAAGTCTTAGAAACAGAATATTTGGAGTTTTAGTGTGTGAATAGCAGTGAGTTCTTACTCATGTGATGCAGGAGCTGTTCATTATCCACGGGTTGAGAGCAGACAAAACAATGATCTGACTGCTATAAAAGTTACATAAGCTCTGCCTTTGGACAAGTGATGCACAATTACTTGGTGGAGAACGAATGTTTGCTTTTCAAAGGCATGTTAATCACATAATGACATATCAGGCACAGAAATGTGTTGCACAGTTGGAAAGGTGTTGACACGATCCTGTGAATATAAAGTTGAATTAAGATTATAATTAAATTTGGAGTTGGGTGGAATTAATATCGAGTTGATGATGAGCTTTCCGTAATGGCCGTAAGCCTAATGCATCAGTCATGGTGTGTGACTGTACAGCTAACAGCAAGTCGATCCTCATGAATTTAAGTGTCACTGTCCAATCTCATAAACACACAAATGCTCTCAGAGGGACAACCACAAGGAGTGCAATACAACACATGTAAAAAAAAAGAAAAGAAAAAAGTCAACTAGACCAACCTTAGTATCATATGTGATATTTTCCACGCAACACATATATTAAGAAAAAAAGTCTGATTATAACTATATAAAATATTTCTTATCTGTGGATATTCCAGCACTGATATGTTTCAGCACTTTCCTTTTTGCCCTGCCTCTGAAGTTTGTTGGTCCGCATTTTTATTATTATATATCATTTACTGATTTAACTCACACAATGTGGTTTTTCGATGGAAATTCTGTGAGGTTTTGCTGCAAATGAATGTGTAACAAAAGTGCAACTGTATATGGGCTTAGAGTCGTGTCCTCATTTTAATTATAAAAGTGGCCAAAACACGACTGACTGAATTCCATCCACTTAACACAGATGTGAAGACACTGATATATTAAACCTTGTGTCTGAAAATGGCTGAAGTCTGATCCATTTTATGGAGGCATCAAACATAAATATTTCTTCGTTATTACAAACAGTTGTCAGGACTTCATCACAAAGTCATTAAAAATGGTTTCACACTTAAATAAATTAATGAAATAAAACAAAAATGACATCTTTGATAAAGATAATATGCTGATATCTACGTGTGTATATTGACTAAACATATTATACTGTCATCAAATTTATTTTTCTTTTCTGCATGATTCAATTTGATGTTTTTCACATTTTACCTAACGGTACTCTAACCCTTGTTATCTATGTCATAACTAACCTTAAGGGCTTTGAGTCATAACTGGCTTTGAGCCATGGTATAATTGAATATATCTTTAAAGGAGAGCAAAATATTTCAACATATCAGACCTCATAACAATATTGTGACAGTGTGGTGTATAAGGCCTTTTGTATACCATCTAGATGGCTAAATCATATCAGATCCCAGCCAGTCAGTTTAATTAACCTCAACGTAGCAGTCAGAATTGAGACAGAAACGTACTTCTTTTATTTCTTGGGTTCACTGTAAAATTAGCAGCATGTGGGGGACCACAGAAAAAGCAAAAACTTAAAGCATGTAAGATTTAATGCAAGGAAACTGTCCCATCTACGGCAGCTCGTGTGGATTTTCAGAGTCAGAGCACCAAATGAAGAAAGTAACCCATCAAGACAGATGTACTCAAACAACCATTAATACAATTTGTAAAGCATATATCAGATCGGAAGGCACCATCCATCCTTCCAAACCAACTCTCCTCTGAAGATCCTATGAATTACCAGACTCAAGGTCTTTCACCAAAAATCAATACATTACTTTAAGTAAGTGCATTCATGTATCCAAATCCGAATGAACTGTAATGCCAAGGTTGCTCTCTCAATTTCGTATTTCCTTTATGCCATTCCATAGTTTGAAACTAGGGGGAAAAAACAGACGCGCAGATTAAAAAAGTATCAAAGACATATATCCAGCTCATAAACAATTAGAAGCTAAGGCTTTGTTCCTGTGAGTGGTAAATAAAACCCCTTACAACGCAATTCAATGAGAAATAAAAAAGAAGAATGAAAATGAAAAGAAAATGAAAACATTTTCTGACATAAATTCAAGTGCAAATATTCTTATTTATCTCTTTTCCCTTTCTTTGCACCCTAGTGCAAATCCAATGAGTATCCATCTCCATGTTCCATTTCTTCCTTTGTTTTTGGTACTCCATTGCAATAATGTAGGAAAACCATTAAAGCCTCTGGACCAACAGGTGAAATTAGTTTTATTTCATTAAGTTTTATTATATTAAGTCACCCCCCCATCCCCCAAATTTGCCTCAAGTCAAGTTTTCAATAACTCAAAGATATACATGAACGGTTTGAAAATGAAGTTAATAAAATCATGTTAGAAACTTGTGAAATAACGAGCTGTGTCTCTGCTTTGAGGTACTGGGGGCATATATGTTGATTGAATAGTATCGCATCAGCTCTGATAAAATGGAACAGTCGGACAAACATAACATAATTTAATTTAAACTGAATTAAATAGCTCAGACATGAATGCATCATACACCGATACAAAATGTTTGGGTTCAATCTCCAATTAAAAGCTGCAAAACCTGTGTCTACTTAGTTTCAAACTCTTTGACAACATGGACAACAGGGCTTATTTTCCATATGTCTGCACTCTGCACTGATATTTTGTGGGGGAAAAAAACTACACGTTCTCACATAATCACAGTAGAGCTGCTGATATTTGTGATGCAACAAAACAAGTCTGAAACGGCAACATCAGCATTTAGTCAGTTTCAAAGCCCTCTACTCTGCTACTATGCTCTGTTAATGGAGAGTTTTTCAAAGCGCGTTCAGAAAAGAAAAGAAAAAGAAACATATACCGAATTTTGTGTTTGATCACTATTCAGCAGTGTGCACGATCCCACAAAGCAAACATCCAGGAGTCTGAACAGTGCGTGAATGAGGTGGTGGTGACATTTTGTAGCAAGAAATCAAATCTCTTTTATTTTATCTTGAATTACTTTTGAGGTTTGCCAGGGTCCCTTCCATAGAAAGAGAGAAAAAATTAACTTTATGTCTTCCATCAATTCAATCCAGTCATGGTGGATATATGGTAATCTCCAAAGAGAGGAACATGAACCCTCAACTGACCACACCATAAGACCACTCAGAATGAAAAGACACCAAAAACATACATGACATTTTGGATCTTATTACCAAATGTTTTCCCAAAAAAGGTCAGAATCTGAAGCATGAGCATGCATGCGACTTTCCATATTAGCTTCCCATAAAACGAACAATACCAATACACTTTTACTCATCAACTGAGTTGTCTTCTACTTTAAACTAGTTGTAAGATTGTTAGGTTATCAACTTTAGGTTAACCTAAAGGCAGTGTGTTCCTATGTTGGCTCTGTGATATTCCTTTTTGTAGTGGGAATAAATATTTTACAAGGATTCACTGTGTTACACGAAACATTCATGCACTGAAAAAGAGCAAATACACACAGAGACAATTTAATACACCACTCAAGGGGGGAAAGTCTAAATTGCCACACGACATATTGGTCCTAACAGGTTAACATTCAAGTTAGCAAGTCACTTTGCTCAAATATAATCAAGGTCACTGGATGGTATGAGGATGTTAAATGTTTCATGTTTAACCTGCTTAACATCCTATCCTTCCCAGTAACACCGCTTTACACTTTAATATTCTAATATATCTGTCGAAACATCCATTAATTCTGCCACCTGTGTAACCCCCCTCCATGACTTAATGCTAATGCCTCTCTTCATTCTCTCAGCAATCATTTGTTTCAAACGGTTTCATAGCTGGACTAAAGCTATCTGAATGTTTTACCACCTTGCCCTTGCCTCGCTTTGCACATAATTACAACTTTTTTTTTTCTATTATGCTTCTCCTTTATCCTGATGAGTCTTTTCTGTTTAAATTTGACCCGACCATAACAGCAGGTTAACCCCATGACGATTTCTGCTTCCTCAGTGTGAAGTCTTTAGGTGATGACCAGTGAAACAATTTTGCTGTTTATCACAGCAAATTTGGTCAATATGAGTTAGTGTGGGCAAGCCGAAAGCTGTGAGTCTCAGTACAAATCAAGACACCAAACATTTCAAGCCCTAAAAATCCATCCATGCATATATAATTAAATTAATTCTGACCCTTTCCTTGTTTGCACACAGAAAGCCAGAGCTCAAATGTGCTCAAAGGACACATTATAATTAATACCTCTTTTTGTCAACCAACAATCTGGGAAACACCATGCATGTGTTAACTCCTTTTGAGGGCTGCTAAGTATTCCAAAAGGATGGAATGAAAGTGAGAGAAAATGTGCTATGAGAGATATATGACAAAGAAAGGCTGAGGACCTGTCAGATCATTTCTTTTCTTTTTCTCTTTTTTTTTCTCAAGCAGTGCCACAGATATTCTCAGTGTGTTCTCTGCAAAAATCATTACTAACTTTCAGCCTCATATAATTTTCTATGATTTCCTGTTTCTGACTCTGTTGCTTTTCACATTAATGTCCGCCTTTGTTTTTTTTCTTCTTGCTACTTCACTGGGACTCCTCAATCTGTGTTTTGTCTGTTAACTGAAGAGGCTCTGTGTGCAGCACAGACTGTATTCACAGCAACAACAATATTCTTCTCTGTGATGAGCGCCTCTGAATGTGGGGCAGTCTCTCACTGAACAATGGCGAGTTTGGTTTATTTGTATTTGCACGCTCTCACGGCAAGTGTACATTTGTTTTGCCTTTGAGTGTGTATGCTGCTGCTTCATGTGGAGTCAGAGAGATGCATGTCCGAACCTTTTCGCGACGACAGCTGGCAACAGTGAATAAGCACTTCTCTGCTAGCAGCTGCTATTGTCAAGCTGCACAATCCTTCCAGTGACTACACAGGCCGCTCTGCAGAGAGCTTCTGGACGGGCTGCAAAAGGAAAAGAAGATGGAGGCAGAAGTCTAAATTGGTGTGGGCCAAAATAAATAATCAGCTTATTCAAATATCCTTGTGTTTTTCACACACACACAGACACACACCAGTGGTGCAATGATTTGACTCAGGTAAGCTGATGCAATGAAACATCCAAAACCTGAAGAGGAGCAGCTCTCCCTGATGTTCAGTATACACATCTTCACCACCAGTTCATCTCACGGTCACACAGAGATGAATGAGACAGACAAATACTTGCACTTGGTGGTACCCGTAGAGAATCCATGCATACACGAGGAGAACGGGATAAGAGATACCCCTAGCCAGGATTCAAAGAAGGAACCTGCTGCGAGGGAGCGGTCTTAACCACCACACCACAGCATCACAGCCAGAAGAAGTGTTATCTGAACGATGTGTTTATGCCGAGGGTTTTATTAACATAAAGCTTCCCATGATGCCCGAACATTGCTTTATTCATTCACTGTTGTTCACACATTTTGCACACATTGATTCCAAATCTGACATGGGGGACAGGGGAGGCAAATAGAAAGAAAGACTGAAAAACAAAAAAAGCGTTATTAATAAAACAATAGCAAAAACATTGCAAAACCTTATGACCCTCTGCCCCGTCTGTATAAATAAGAAAAAAGATTCAAATAAAAAAAAAACTCTTGTGGGCACTGTCATTTTTATCCATAAAAAAAAAATTGTTACACATCATGACATGTTTAAAACACAGAATGACTTCAAGGAGAGAAATGAATATGCACGAGCTGCCACTGGCGTGAATTCCACAGTTTGATCATATAAACAGCCCATATGTGCAGGTTGTGAAAACATTTGGAGAGGGCAGAGTGTTGAAGCCACTGCCGTGTCTCCAGTGGGCTCGGCATGGGGGCATCGTGTGGAACACAGACTGTGTTGTTTACCCACTTTTATGTGAAATATTCATATATATGATGCGATGAGTGCAATCTAATACCCATTTTACTCCTGTTAAAGTGGGCTTTTTAGCTTACGATTTTACCTGGTAAAGGTTGCAAGTTTTGCATCATATTTCAACTCTTTATGAGTCTATATTCTTGTCTTGCTCTTATACGTTGCTAGTTTTTTGCTCCCAGCAAAGGTATGCTCTGCCTCCTTTTCTTTTGATAGTTCCCTGGAAACTGGAAGGTCCAGAGTAAAAGAGAAGTGGGAAGACTGAGGAGAGCGGGACGTTGTTAAACTTGTTTACAGCAAACAGTAATTTGCTGATTGCACTAGTTGTTATGATTGAAAATTGCATTAATGAATTTAGGCTATAGAAACTGATTTCTGGACACTTACTGATATCACTTTTGCACACAGCGTCACTCATCATTAATGTCTGCGGGTAGACGCAGGTAATAGCCAGGTAATAATCACCACCGATATGATTAGTGTAATTATTTTTCTAATTATGCTTTAGAAATAAATGGATTATTTCCCCTTTTAAAAGCGTCTCTCAGCTGCTAATTCAAAAACTGTAGATGAAATTAGCCTGCAAAACAGAGGGGAATCGAGGGTTGGTATGTCTTCGCCACTGCCGAGATGAAGGCCAAACCACCAGCTTTGGCCCTGACCTTTCCTTTTGGGAGGGAAGAAATTGGAATTGGACTCAAGCCTCCATCCCTGTGTCTCGGTTATTAGGCGACAATGTGCTCGAGTGGGAGATTCTCTCAAACCACTTCAATGATTGCACTGCGACAATAGCTCCACAATGTTTACCTCACCTCGAGGTTGCATTAAAACTAAGATTATATATGTGCAATGCTAGACACCATGGAGGTCTTTATACAGCGTGACCCGATGTGAAATGACATACTTGTTTGCTACCTTTAGAAAAAAAAAGTGATGAAATGAGAAATTGGTATAAAGAAGGAAAAATTATACATATACCCTTCAAAAAGAGAGAGTAAAAGACTAAAGCGCTTTACCTAGTTAGTACAATTTGCAGTTCTCAGACATGTGCTTTAATTTTCTCCATCTTTCCAACAAGCCTAAACCCATACACAAATACATAAATTATTCCCTTCAGACGAAACACTATCTCATGCACACTGACACCGTCCCTCGTGGGTGGTCTGGATGAATGGCTTACTTGTGCAGCATTGACAGCAGGATTGATGTTGTCCGACCCACAGGTGCCTCTTTTGACCACCGTCAGAACAGACCTGCTCTCAATGTTTCACTGTCTGACTACATGCATGTGTACTTAAGTGTTGTACAGGTGAGGAAGAGGAAAATGAGAGGCAGGAAGTGGACGAATGTTGTTCACTGGAGGTGTGCTTGATTCAGTGATTGAGCTGTAGTGTTCACAGAGGCAGAGGAAAAACAGCACACTGCTTCTCAAGGGAAGACTTTTGATGCAAATACTAAGAATACAAATGCAGGTTTTTTTCTGCAAATAGCACAGATGACATTAGAAAACAATAGCCATCAAATAATTCATTACACTGAAGAGTAAACTTATCATAGTGGTTTGAAAATAGATATTAATTTAGGTGTATTGTACATATAGCATATCATTTTTTAAATGTTTCACATGGGAGAAAAACTTCAAAGCTTTTGTCTAAGAAATATGTTTGCCTGTTTGCTTTTGTTCTTTTAAAACTGCTTTGCAATGACTTATCTCAGCCACCACACATTTGCATTTAATAGGATTTAAAAAACTTTCTTCTTTCTTTCTCTGAGATTTGTATATCAGTTTTCAAAATGAGTAGACACAAGAATTTAATACAAAATAACAACTGAATAATAAACTTAGTCACAAATAATACAGCTATGTAAGAGTTTTAAGAGTTTAAGAGTTTAATACAAACATTAAATCATATATATCTAAAGTATCAACTACATGTGTTGGTCCTATATTTGGTGGTGATTATGTGCACCCATGAACTATTGAGCTTTGCCATTCCTCAAAACATTCAATTATAAATACAGAATATTGCGAGTCCATGACACAGAGTTTTGAAAATCTAAGTATTTGATGCGTACAGACCTTGTTTGAATTAAATGATGAGATTTTTTCACAAATGCAGTCTTTAATGTAAACCACCATTTATAAAACAAATGGATTTTTTCCAATTAAAAGACTCTCTGTAGAGATGTCTGAGGAAGAGTTGACATGCTGCCTATTTGATGATTCCATTTACCTTGGTTAAATAATAATTGAGCGACATGTTTTGACTTTACCCTTTTTACAACAAATATTTAAAAAATGTATGGAATACGTGACATTCAAATGGGACCTTGGTCCTCTGGTACTTTCATTGATAACAACAGGAAGGAGCACATTGACAATGAGCTTTTGTTGGTACAATATTACAATAATGACTGCAATGCTTCCACTAAAAATACTAGACAAACAGATAACAAAAGAGCAAAAGACTGATTGCTCCAGTGGCTCAATCCATATTCAAAATTCCCTCTGCTGGGCGTTGATAATTAACTAGTATTTGAGTTCAGTGTGCATCTCATTGGGCATTAGTTTAAGAAACACTCATATCATTTCAAACCTAATTATTTCAAGATATGCATGGAAATGTGTCTCCATGGACAACACACAGCCCTGTTCAAGCTTAATGTTGTTATTTTGTGTACTCCTACAAATAATTCTTTCTATTTTATAAATGATACAACCATCACCACAGCAAACTAATCAACCCTCAGTTGACCATGGCCATTGTTGGAAAGCATGTCCGAGCCTCTTTAACTCAACCTGGGACATATACTAGGATTTTGAGTGTTCTATTTTGGGAGTAATGCAGCAACGGTAGGAACAGAAACAAAGATAATGTCTTTGAGCCAGATGCTTAGTGATTCTCTAAAACTAGTAAAAGAATTTTTGTTTAAAAAGGTTTATGAAAAGCACTTAATAACTTTAAGTGTAAATTAATCTATGGCACTGTAATTTGTCTCCCTACAGGGCTGACGTTATACATTTTTTGTATTCTCATCTATTTCAAATTCACAAGACATTTTTCTTTCTAAATTGGCAGAAAATGTCTCTTCCATTCACCTCTGAATTATAAAATAATATGTTTTATCTTTTTTTTTTTTTTTACCAGTTCCATTATATTTCTTCTTTTCACTCCTTATTTTTTCATCTCTGCAAAATTTCACCCACTACTGCATTCCCTTGTCTCCTTAATACCCCTGGATTCAATGAATTCATTCATAACCCAGGAGGGTTCATTCCTACCTCACAAGGGTTAAATACCTCATCTTTGAATTTGATAGATTGCTCATCATTAGCATTTTAATTTGTAATTGTTGCTGTCAAATGTTTTAGGGTAAATCATAGAAATAAAGGGTATCTTCATGTTGCCTGCAGTGTTTCCGAGGGCTAATGCCAAATTTAATCTACTAGTTCAGTCTCAGGAACTGTGGATTCGGCGGACACTGATGGGCTTCTAATGTAGCCTATCTTTAATTCAAAGCTTCAAACTTGTGACGCAGCCTCCTTGTTCTCTGACTATGCCCTTGCATGTGCAATATGTTAATTCAAAATTTAGGAGACGGCCATCTTACGGGTGACCCAGAATTTTCCATACACAGAGAACCAGTTAAAGTTAATGGATTAAGAGGATTAGAATAAATATGAGTTTGACAGCAGATGGCCTCAATAAAAGCGGATGAATCCAACAACCCTCCACCCTTTTGGAATGCAGCACACAACTTGATGTAGCGACAGCTCTGTAATAAAGATGAGAGTCCAGCACAAATTGAGCCATAAAAGAATCACCTGCATACAGAAAATCAAGTGTCTGTCATTCTCCATCATGCCCAAAATCAAGATAAACCAAAAAAAAGGCAAAATGCCAAGGTTCAAATAAAAACAGAAAACAAAGCTGGCAAAAAACACAATACAAACACTAATTTTATTTTAAACCAGATAAATGGCGGAGCGAAATGAACAAAACGACACAATCTCACACAGCCGTCTTTTATGTTTTGATACTCCCTTAAGAGTATGTGTGTGCTTGAGGCCCAATATCATATCGTTCTTTAAACTTTACAGCAAATAAACATTGTAAGAAGCAGACAGTTACATGTAAAAAGTCAGAAAGTTCAGCTTTGATTCAGGGGCTGCCCTGACAGACATTATCAGTGAGCTACATGCTCAATTATACAGTGAACATCCATTTATCCACCAACTGATTTAAAAAAAAATCAGCTTCAGTCTGTTCAGTGAGCAGGTAGTCTCTGTTCAACCTGACCCTAGCATATTTGGAATTGGCAAATATCTTATAACTGCTGCTCTTTTCATTTACCCCCCCACCGTGATATTTGACTGCTGCCAGTCTTACATCTTTGCAAACAGGCTTAGCTTGAGGTTTAGTCAATAATATAGCCAATAATATAGCGTGATAGCCTGGTTGACAAATGTCTGTATAGATTTCAGTGAGAAAATGTTAAGAGCACATTATCCAATGTTCTTGTGTCTTCGACCAGATAACTTAGTGGATGTGTCTTTTCATACCCTCTGTTGTATTACAAAAACTTGTTGGTATACTACTATCAAATCATAAAACTGGCATGTGACTGAGCCTGTTGATTGATGACAGCCCAGCTCACGTTATCTCTTTGGATACCCATGTGTCTAGATTTGAAGATAGCAATTTTTTTGTTTATTTCTGATCATCTGAATGCTTGTAAACATAGTGATATTCAGGAGTTTGAATGTTTGTTGGACTAGAAAATTGCATTTTTGAAAGACTACAATCAAACAATCTCCCTGTTACAATTTGTGTGTGTGTCATATTCCATCATGTACCCCTTATTTATTTTGACAAAGGCCATGGGAAATGAATTGCAAAGCAAAAAAAGCTGTGAAAGGGAAAAAAAAAATCTGCTTGCAGTAAATTTGAGCGTCTGGATGTTCAGCTTCACTGTTGTTTATCTATCCTCCCATGGAAATAAGCTCCTCAGGACCAGAACTTTGGATTTTTGTCAATTTTTGTAATATTCAAGTGAAATATATGCAGGAAATTAGAGTTATAAAACATATACTGATGGGTATTGTCTTTGTGTGTGGGAAAATATGACCTCAGGGTGCACACCTCTGTTTCTAACACGGATTGCATCTGGCAGGTTGACTTGTACGGGTTAAACGGATGGTGATGCAACCCATCCACTACAATATAAAAACATTTATTATGTCCGTCATTTAAACAACCAAAAAGAAGAAAAGGTTTTCCAAATTCTAACCTTAACCGAATATTTTCACACGTTTTCTCTGCTATTTCAGAAAAAAACAAACAAAAACAAGGTGGCTTTCTACGGCTTTAACATTCAATGAGCAATCCTGTACCACAGATCACATGATTCCAATTTTCAAACAGCAACTTGAGACATGTTAGAACTACTATTTTGCATACAGACAAGAAATTATTAGCATTATTGTCATGTTCTTATTCATGTACTGCAATATTTATGACTACCTACCTTCACCACATGTCACTTTGCAATGGTATTCATTCCCACAGTCAACTCCACCTCCAGGGCCTGACATTAAATGAAAGAGACTTACCAGAATCTAATGGCAGCCTCAGACAGCATTTCACCCCAGATATGAGCCAAAGGACTAGAAAGGACAAAAGGTGATGACATCAAACAGCTTCCCTGTGTTCTGGCTTCCTATCTTTCATTTTAATATCTCAAATGCACATAAATATACGCACATGCATCAGAACTCACTGGAAAACATACAGTTTTGTATTTGCATACTTTCCTTCTTTTTCGTCTTTGTTCTGCTATTTTCTTCTTCCACATTCCCGAATCTTTGATGCAATCGCATGTAATATTTGACATCGCATCAGATTTCCTTTGAT